TTGCTCAGATAACGCGTCTTGTAACCGACGGGAAAAAGTTTTTATTTCTTTTTTTTTTTTTTTCAGCTCACGAGCTATCATCATAACGTGCAGTTTTACGCAGTCACGCAACATTACTGCAAATTAGAAATTTCTGCTATTAGCTGAACTCTGTGTTCTTATTACTTTTATGTCGTCGCTCATTGTACGAATGTATACTTATAGTAGTACTTTTAACGTAATCATGCGTATCAAGTCTTAATTTACACTTGAAGAAAACCGCGAAGAATAAAGAACATAGTATTGAGAAAAGAGAGAAAGAGAGAGAGAGAGAGAGAGGGAGGGAGGAAGGCAGGAAGCCACGAAACGACGTAGGAAACGACGTAGGAAACGAGTATATCGAAGTCGACAGCTAGCCCGATAACGAGAAAGACGAGCGAGGCAAAGCGAACGTTTTTATAATCGCCGCAATTATCTGCGAGGCCGGGAGTCGAGCGTATATAAACCCTAGCGCGCAACAGCTTCAAGGGGCACCTCTTCTTATCGGGACACTGGCTGCGTGCCGGCGCGGTTGCATGCGGAGGCTGATAAACAAATAATTAGCATTCGAAGTAACCCGCATTCGTATTATCGCTGGCATCGCTCTCCTCGCCAAAGGGAAGGGCCTGGGGCTCGCGTAACCCTTCGTTGACGTATACATACATATATATATATTACCCAGCGTACACTCGACCCGACGAAGACCCGGCCACCTTTAACGCGTGCAACGGCATTCCGTGCCGTCCGCTACATTTCGCCCGTCTTGTATAATACGTGGACGGGTAATTAGTGCGCTATGGAAATCGCGCTCAACAATTCGACCGCTCGATCTAGGTACGTTTCTTTTACCACCGCGGAATGTTTTGCGTGTCTGCGTAAGCGTATCGAGATTGTAAAGAGAATGCCAACGAGATCGTTCGAGGCAGAGAAGTAATAATACCATTTTAAATTATAATTCGATGGTGTACACCGTATCTGTAACACGTTAGAAATTTGCATGGTAATAATAGTTACATTACTTATCTACGATGTTACGTACACTTTGTGAATAATTTTGCTGGTTTCTCTCGTAGCACGAAATGAACCGTTTATATGTTATATGACAAAATACGAAATGGATTACATTTTAGGATTAATTCAGGCTCTTTCTTGAAATATCACTCTCTCTTTAAAAATTATAATATATTTCAAAATATGAACGATGAGATTACTCTTAAATACATTATATTTTAGATATCGACTCAAAAGAGAAATGATCTTTCCGACATTAGCATATTAATATTTACCTTCACGATGAAATAAGATACTGTTATATCGTAATTAAATCGTTTCGAACGGTCTCTATAAAGATGGCGAAGGGATAAAAAAAAATCGTGTATATCGTAGAGAGGGATGATTTAGTTAAACATACAAAACTAAAAATTAAAATACGCAAAGGCCTTTGATGATGTAGTTAGTCAATACCACTGGTTGGGGGCTGCTCAATGCAGGTGGATCCAATCAGAAACTCGACCATGCCGGCTCGGCAGGTGCTTGGAGAGATCGCGGTCAATGGCTCTCGAGAACGACCGGCACTTTTTACACCGAAAGCAGAAAAGAGCGCCGACTAATTTTGCGCGGCGCTCCATTACGGAGCACGAAGCAATCCTTTTTCCGCGGCTTCGTTTGTTCGTTTAATTGTCTCTATCCGACTAATTTGATGACAAAACACACGATTTGATAGAGGAAATAAATTTCCAAGTCTCTCTCGTGGATTTATGCGTTTTAGCTGAAATTAAAAGTTTATAAACAAAAGAAATATCTCCTTGCCTTTAAGAAAGAAAAATTCTTTTCTCGTATCCATCGTACGGATGGATGTCTTCGTTAGCGTGCATGCATAAAGTACTGATCGTCAACGCATGTCTCGCCTGATGTGCGAACGAGGGTGTTCTCCTCAAGCTGAAAGGGGAATAAAAGTTTGACACGGACGTCGGATGCGGTTCGCCACGAAGCTCGACCGGTAGACACCCCACGGTTTGTTGCTTCGCACCCTCGCTGTCGAGTCTTTTACCTCCCTCGCATTCAGCTGTCACGTGGCTCGTACTCGACCGATCGCCAGCGTTTCCGCTTTATTTTCCGCCATCCGGCGCTGCGTTGCATCGATGGGTGTCGAGTGACCGATCTTGTTAACGATCTCGTACGGTGGTCGATACTTCCTGGCACGTTCGAGTGGCCTGGAAAGCAATCGCGCGATGCCTCGGCGCGAATGAGTTCTCGGAAAAAGATCCGAGCCGACGCAAACGGGACAGACGAGGCGAGACAAGCGAGGAGATTCTTCGTTTTAATTTATGCGCGGCGTAGCTCCAGGCATTATTAGTCCTAGCTGACTACGAGGGGCGTGACGTCACGCGGCTAAAACAAAGGATCCTACCGGTGCCCATTTCACGTCGGCTTCCTTTTAACCGTGCCGACAGGAGGGTGCGAGGGACCTGCGGGCCTCGCCGGTGCCGAGTAGTTCGGCACTCTTTACGCTCCGTCAATTTTGTACTACGCACTTTTTCACCTACGCGAACAGATTATCGCACTTCCGCTGGCCCCATTGCTCTCGGTCGAATCTCTTGCAATTATTTCGAACTTGAGACACCGATATAATTCAACATTTATTCATTATATTTCACTACGGAGATAACCGCTTGAAGAAAAGCGGCAGGTGATGAAATAGTTGCGCGAATCGTGATTGCGAGATGGTTAACGTATACGTGTACACGCGGTGGAGGGCGTGTATCCAGTATCCACGCGTAGGGTTTTAGCGGTGGAGACTGCGTGGAGGGAGCTGATCGAGGGACGTCGTTGTCTCCGCAGGCCACTGTCATATTGTCCCGGCGGATCGATACGTGGCCTGCCTACAACCTGCACTCATCGAGCTTGAAGAGGGCGTGGCTCGTACACCGGCGGAGAGACACTCAACCCCGTTGCGATCTCCGCCGTGCTAAACCTTCCGCCTCCCTCTCGAAGCGTAAAAGCGGGAGAGACGATTTCGTCCTTTCAACCCTCCGCGATTCTCCCGTGCCAGTCGTCACCCTCTACGACCTTCGCGTCAACGAGCGCTCCCATTCGTCGAGAGCGTCGTAACGGGGAGCAATCATCCTGCGTTCGGAGATTTCTCGGAATAATAACTCTCGATACTTTCCCTACGTTCAAGCGTAAAACTACAGATATTTCGTTCAATTTGTAACGTCCTCGAGATATAAATCGTTTTTACTTATCCACACTTTAACACTCAGTTATATTTAACTTATTATTACTTTTGCGTTAAAAGTAACGACACTGTAAATCACCCGGAAAGCCTTGGAACGGTGCTCATGAAACGAGCACATCCTAAATAACGACCATATACAACAATGTGTCATGTTACCGCGAAGAAATATGAGGAGGACATTTGTTGTATGCGTTGATGAATGATCGGGGCAACCGAGCAGAACTCTGGATCTCTCTTCGGAGGATAGATCGCAGTGCGGTTGCGACTCCTCCGTTTTTCCTTTCTCTTCCCCCTTGCTTTTTCACCTCTCGCTCTCTCTCTCTCTCTCTCTCTCTCTTTCTCTTACGTCGCTTTCATCCTGGAAGGGTGCGCGCGTTCGTTGTCTTTCGCCGATGTTGCTGGCGCAAGGTTGAATCCACGTGGGGGCGTGTCGCCTCCATGGCGCCGGCTGCTAATGGCCGCGCGGCCCTCCAGACCTTAATTTCCTGCCGCTTCCGCGGACCCTCTCGCTTTTACCTCTCCACGTCCAAATCCGCTTCGGGACCTCTCCTCTTCAGCCTCCGGCCCTTCGGTAGCCGCCGACACTCTCCTTGTCCTTTCACCCCCGCGCTACTCCCGCGAGCGATTTGCATGGAGCTGCTTTTGATGAAGTTCGTTATCTAAAGTTTCAGTCGGCTTCTACCGTTCGCTCTAATTTTTAGCTCGCACACAAATTGTGCTCCCTCTAATTCCACGCGCCGCGGACTCGTGCGCGAAAGAGCATGAGTTTCGCAAGTTTTCTCGGAATTGGAAGGCTTATTGAAATCTGCTAAGGGATTCACACACAAATTATGTCGTTATTGAATTTGTTCAATTTGCATCAAGAGTTCATCACGTTTCTATTACAAATTATAATTCTTATCTCGTTGCTGGTCGTATTATTTACGCGATATCTTAAGCGATTTCATCCTGATGTTCTCTACGTATTTGCTTCCAAGACCGTAACGTTTTCCCACGTTATTTTGGATCGCTTAATATGGTATCATGGAAATCGTACGTCGACCTTGTGCTTGATTCGAGAACAATTTGCATGAAAGCGGCCTAGGTAGAGCGGTTGGTCTATCCGGGTCTCATTACTTTCAGCGACTAATCTTGGATCTCTTCTAGGATAGGAACGGCAATTTAGTGTCATTATACGCCCTTAGGGGAAGACTTTCCTCTTTCTTTCTCCTTAGATCTGGGCCCGAACCGTGGCTTCTTTTTAGATCGATTTAGACGCGGCGGGGCGATTATGGGCGTCCACCGACCGCCAGATTTCGATATTACGAACCGCGCTAGCACGAAAAAGTATCTTGATAGTCCCGTGAATCGATACGCGTGATACGTAATTCGCTCCAAAGTTGTTATTACCGATTTGCGTAATCGCACGACGAGATTGCTTCATAACGAGCGCTTCCGATGTTAAAAATTCTGAAAAGAACTGGTAATGCGCGCGCGGGCGTTGTTCAGTTAGCACATTGTAAATCGAGGTCATGTATGTCCGTAAACATTTATTTATCCTTAATAAAGAGAATCTGTTATATTTATAATTCTTTACATAAATTGAGTGCAAACAGAATCTTTGGTTGAAAATTATACATCGCGTCGTATGACAATGCATGCCCTAAAACAAAAACTGCTAAAAGCTCTATTGATAAGCTCTTTTCCTACGTGCGAGCGAAATACAGATCAAAGAATAAGGGTAGATTTAACGATAATGTTACAGGATCATCCAGGATTACGAGGCACACCTTTGGCCATGCTGGCGGCGCAGTGCAACAAATTAAGCAGTAAGAGTCCGCCGCCGCTAGCGGACGCAGCCGTAGGCAAAGGTTTCCACCCTTGGAAGAAGAGTCCACAAAGCAGCGGCAGTTCGCCGCAACACACCGGCGGCGGGGGAGGTGGCGGCGGAGGCGGGGGAGGCGGCGGTAGCGGTGGGTGCACAACGACGGGAGTGAGCCAGAGACCGGCGGCGACGAGCAGCGCCGGCAGCACGACCGGTGGTTACGCCAGGGCGCCGGTGACGTCTTGCGCCTCGACCGCACCGCAATACGGTAGCGACTTGTATTTCCCCGGAACGGCGAGCGCCCAACCGGCCGGCGATCCACATCATCATCAGAGTAGTCTTCTGGGCAAGGTCGAAGGCGCGACTTTGGGCTCGGTGTACGGCAGGCATCCGTACGAGTCGTGGCCGTTCAACGCGATGCCAGGCGCGACGCACGGCGGAATAAAAGCGAGCGACGGTTGGTGGGACGTGCATGGCGCCGCGACTGCCGGCGGATGGCTCGACGTGAGCGGCACCGTTGGCGTCGGCGTCCACGCGGCGCAAATGGCCAATTACTCGGCCGACTACTCGACGAGCTTAGCGCTGGCCGGCAATCATTTGCTAACCACGGCTACGACGGCCGGTCACAATCTCTTGCAAGACACGTACAAATCAATGCTACCGGGTGGGCCGCCCGGATTCGGGCTCCATCACCACGCGGCCGCCACAGCCGGCGCCGGCGCCGGTGCCGGAAGCCCTCAGGGCAGCGGCGGCGGTGTCGGCGTCGGGGGCGCCGGCGTCAGCCAAGCGCCCTCGCCGCGCTCGCAGAGACGTTACACCGGACGTGCCACCTGCGATTGTCCGAATTGTCAAGAAGCCGAGAGACTCGGTCCCGCCGGCGTGCACCTCAGGAAGAAGAACATCCACAGCTGCCACATACCGGGTTGCGGCAAGGTCTACGGGAAAACGTCGCATCTGAAGGCCCACTTACGGTGGCACACTGGTGAGCGACCGTTTGTTTGCAACTGGCTTTTCTGTGGCAAGCGGTTCACACGTTCGGATGAGTTGCAGCGGCACCTTCGAACCCACACCGGCGAAAAGAGATTCGCCTGCCCGGTCTGCAACAAGCGGTTCATGCGCAGCGACCATCTCGCGAAGCACGTCAAGACCCACAGCAGCAGCAGCAGCAGCAGCGGCAGCAAGGGCAAGGGGGGAGCGGGGAGCTCGTCGGCCGAGTCCTGCTCCGACAGCGAGGACAACGGGAGTCAGCAGAGTCCCACTTCCAGCTCGGTGCCGCAGCCGCAGCCGCCGCAGCAGCCGGCTCAGGCCCAGCAGCAGCAACAGCAGCAGCAGCTGGCGGCAGCGGCGGCGGCGGCGGCAGCGGCGGCGGTGGTGGCGGGCCAGGCCCCCAGCAACACCACCTCTCCTCAGACCACCACCACCACACTCGGCCATCAGCCGACAACCCCCATGACTCCAATACAGATGACCCCGCCGCCTCTGACCCCACACCATCCCCACCACCCGCATCTCCCGCCTCTAATGCACCATCCTCATCATCACGCAACCTCCGTCCCGGCGGCCCACCATCCGCACGCGGGGATGAGCATGCACTGAGCCCGGTGGGGCCCGGAGCCGGTGCCTGCAGTACCTCTGCCGCAACGGCCCTGGGCTCCCCCCTATCCTACCCCCTCAACTTGAACCTCATGCAAAACCACTCGACCATCAATCCATCGACTCCCCATCACCACCATCAGCAACATCAGAATCATCACCATCACCATCACCATCATCACCACCCATCATCGCACCAACAGCAGCACTCGCGACAAAATAACTCCTACTCTGTGCAACAGAATCCTGGCACGCCGGGGACCGCGCAGACTCCCTCACCCTCGTCCCCCGCGCCTGTACATAGTCTCTAAGCGGTTACGAGCGCACTCGCGTCCAACAACCGGTCACAATCCACCGCATGTCCGTCCGCCGCGCTCATACACGCAGGCACGAATGATACATACACGTATAGACACGAGAGCATACACGGAGATATACACACACGAATCTGGCTCCCCATCCTGATTCTGAATACGGAGATGGTCCTCGTAACGCACGCACGCGGATATTTCAGGATTTTTTATTTGTACATAATATATATATATTTATATATATAGGGCGCGAAAGAGAGGGAGAGAAAGAGAAAAATGATATTATATTAATTAAGCGGTGTAATGATGTGTAAAAAAAAAAAAAGTAATTCGTATAAATATATAAATATATAAATATAAATATATATATATATATAAATATATAAATATATATATACATACAAAGCACTGTCGCGTTGTACCATACACCGATGAAACACTTCGCGCCCTGCTCGACTCTTCTCTTCCGTTCATTTTCGGAAGGCAAGAGACGGTTCGAATTAAAGAGAAACGACTGTGGAGTATGGACACGGACAGGTTCCAAACGATTTCATACCACACAGGGCCTTGAACATTTGTCTGACGAGAAAGTGAGTTTCCTTAGTGAATTAAAAAATTTTTTCCAGACAATTTGTTGATTACGTTTGGAACTTGGACTTGAACGATAACCCATATCAGCCCACCCTTTGGATGTAGTATCGCACTATTATCAATGAATTATTATTAATTATTATTAATTATTAATTATTAATTATTACTATTAACTCTTCTTTATTACTGTATTATTATAAAAAAATTATAAATTCATTTTAAAGTGAGAAAAAGGAAATAAATAATGCTTTTGTGAATAATGAAGACTCTATTCGACTTTCACTCCATTCACAAAGCTCGTTCCCGCCACCCAATTGCCGACTTCCTTGTTTGTAATCTATGAAAAGACAGTCCACACACTAGTTTCGAACTCCTAGCTCGACCTTCGCTCTTGCTGCCGCTGATTATTAAGGTGCAACCCGTGCGCGAGTCAACCTCTGGACTAATTTATCTTCCTCGCCTGCTAAAACGTGATTCCTACGCACGAATTGAAAGTAAGTTTATTCACAATTGCTTTGAGTACAACGTCGCGTGTCCGCCAATAATGATTTTTAATTTTGACACATATAGATCTAAATATTTGCGATGAAGAGTCGTGTAACCTGACGCTAGGGAATACCCCCAATGTATCAACAGGCCGACAGAGAACGACACTGAGCAGAGAACACGACCGAGCACGAGCGGAACACGAGCTCCTGGGACGATATTATCGCACGGGCCGTTAAATCCCAGATCCTACCAACCGTGAAATGTCCCGTCATAACATAAGGTCTCCCCCACTTTGTCGTGCCACTTTATTTTCCCGCTCCAGGATTTTATTCCGACCTTCGCTGCTCCTCCGTTCAGAGATTCGCTGATTATGCGGCACATCGGGCATCGTTCTGGCATCGCCTCGCGCGAGCGCAACGGAAATGCGTCCGATACGTGCTTCGAGCTCCTCAATCTTATTAGCGAGAATGACTCGGCTCGCTTCTCTCGGGCCTAAACAGTGGAGTAGCCGCGTCACGCGATCATTAAGCTTCTATAAAGTTGATTCTCCCGAGCATTCTGGCCGGTCATAATTGATTACAACATGCGCAATATTCTTCAAACAATCACAGCAGAAGCAATAATTCGAGACAAATGCATGTTTTTAAACATAGATACGTTACCGTTAATACACATTAATGAAGGAATTATAGAAAAATCATCTTTCACTCTTTTAAGGATGTGTGGCTAGAATAAAGGTTTTCCGTAAAAAGTTAATGCAAAAACGTTAAGATTGTAATTGAAAAACGAAATTCGTGTTTCATCGAATAATCGTGGTGTGTGGCGCGAGGTTTAATAGATTCGACATGTCTCCTGACGGAGACACCGCAATAAACAATTTTCAAGCGCGGCGCCATAAACTCGATCAATATGGCAGAGATTACGAAATAAGATCGTTATGCAAAGCAGTCGGAGAGGGTTGCGCCGGGGCTGCGCCGCAGCAATTCGCGGGGGGTGCGGTTAACGTCTCGCGGCAAGCGTGCAAGCCCGGGGGATGGCTTTTTCGGTGATTTAACCGAGGAGGGTGAACGTTTGTTATTCAATTTGCAACCCCCTCGGTACCAGCCACTGCTCACCCTCTACCCACAGATCATCGCGCCTTTACGACCATGGCCGTACGCTCCTAATGCAGGAAGCGTTCTTCCTCGCTCGAAATATAGCGATCGGTGGGTATTCTTCGTTTCAACTCTTCCGCACTTACGTAACTGCTTTATCTTCTATTCCTATTATTTGTTTCACGGAAGCTGACAACGATCGTACGTACATCTGCTGTTGTGAATCTATGCTGCACTCAGAATCACTGTACAACGATAATTCTACCATTCATTTATTAAAATATATATTGTTGCTGTAAACTTTGTAAATAAACTAAAAGAGATTTGAAAAAATTAATTTATGTTTCATATCATTACCATAATCTTTTATTTCCCTTGAAATATTATAATATATCTCTACTATAGCTTTAAATTAATCTATCTTTATCGTCGTTTCGATACTAAAAAATTAATCTAATTAAATAATATACTTTCTCATTAAATCATGATTTCGCATAAAGATCAAGAGAAAAGAATTAAATAATCTTTAAACTAATAATAAGAGAACTGTGTTCAAATTTTACATAAATACTCAGATGCAATAATAGAACAATCTATAAATTTGTTGTTAAATTCCTAACATTTAAAAAATAGATACTAAATAATTTCATAGTAATAAAACAATATAATTTTGGATTGCTTCAGTAAATCAACTTTGGATTTTGTCACGAATAATCCGTAAAATTTTGTTAAATTTCTAATATTTTAAAAATATATTTCTAATGCCAGGTCCACAACCTTGCTTTAATCATTAGGCTCTTTAAGTTATAAACACTAAGAAGTAAGCTATAAAACTTAACACGTTAAATCAAATAGTCCACAATATGGACATAATTTTTAAGACATCAATATCCATCAGGCAGCGAGGTTATATGCAACATAGCAGCATTTAAACATAAATATGAGATCAATAATATAATATTGGGTTTATTTTGACATATTTGACGAGAACCTCGTCATCAATTCTATCAATTCTGCTTTCCATATGTTGTAAAATATTGCAGATGTCATCACTCGCGATATACTGACATTTAAAATCTCATTACGTGGTGCAACCGTTATTTCTGGTCTCTCATTGGTTGGTGCACATATCCAGGACTTATTTAGCGTTAAGAAATGGGAATTGCCGATTTCGTTACAGCTTATGTTTTACGGATTAAAGTAAGCGTAAGGACGAATATGACGTCACCTTAGCGCTTAAAATTTAACGCTTACGTCCATTTAAAGCAAGGTTTTGGCCTAAGCATAATATATAATTTAAAAATATTAAATATCCTTAAATATTTCTGTGTGAATTCATATATACATCTGATTCTGTAAACCACACGCCGAAATTTTGTTTGGTCTTGAAACGCAGTCATGAACAGAATCAGAATAGTAATAGCACATATTGAATTGACAAGTAATTTAGCAAAATTATTATACTAATAAACATCTTTATAAAAAAACATTAATAATTCTATGTCAATATAAAAAACTTAAATTTGCGAATAATTTAATACAAATAAGAAAAGAATGCAATTACAATTTTCACTTAATTCTTTAATAATATTTTATCATTAATATTCGTACAAATTACGATTCGAGATACAAATAGGATGATATTCAATTAACAACGTCAACGTATAGTTTCATCATTATGTAATGTCGCGTTCAGATTTACGTATGCTATGTATGCGCACCGATAAATTAAAGGGAACGATTTCCTTCGGAAGATATACATTCATCCGTCCGGCAGCTTGCGAGTGAATAATTAGGCGCGTGCGAGTGTCACGTCCGCGAGACCGTTCTCAAGGCTCGGGTCATTAGATCCGTCTGTTCTTTCGAACGTGTTGCGATAATAAAGGTCGCGTACCGTCACCAGACAAAGACACCGCTGTGCGATTAATTTCACGGCGGTACACCCCACCGCGATACAATTGAAACGAATGGAGCGGCGGGAGCATTTTATGAAGCCGGCGGAACGACACTTTGCTCGCACAAACACCGTTCCGCGCGAATCGCGCGCGTTCATCACGATCTATAAATGGATTACAAATGGCAGGGAGATGTAGTACAACTGAGAGAAATAAATTGAATACACGCATTACAATAATACGAAAGGAATTTCAGAATTACGACAAGAAATTTAATTAATGTAAAAATAACAATTACGGATACACATAAAACGGTGGGTAAGAAAAACTATTTTGCTTTAATTTCATTTCATTTAAAAATTCAGTGATAAATCTCTGAAGTCAATCCTTCGATTCCTTCGAATGAGACAGACTAGCGACTGACAGAGAGCAAAGTATTAAGTGGAGAGATGACGGAAAACTGAATGGTACTCTTTGAAATTTCACACCGTGATGTCGGCAAGGCTTAGTAAAAAAAAAAAAAAAATGGACAAAGGAGCCCGAAAGGTTCGCCGTTTCTCGCCCCTGCTAGGTCTGTTAACAAATCTCATGATCCTAACGACTCGACTTTAGATGGGGATACCACGGTTAAAATTTCAAAAGCAAAACCGCCTCCTTCTCGAACTCACCGCAGACTATAATTTCTACTAGTAGAGAAAAGCAAGAAGCGTGTACCTTCTGCGCTGTACAAAAGACTAACGTACTGCTAATACATGATTCATGGTAAGAATTCTCTCGTGATATTTATATTACTTTTCTCTAGAGCTTTACAATAGTACATATCTCGAAATCATTTTGATTATTATATCAAACGATCCTATTTTAACTAGATTTACCGCAATATATCATTCGTGAAATTTATTAAGCGTGAATGAGAGGCGAGCGTAATCAATCTGTCAAATGTATGAACAGATTAATACGCTAATCCGAATCGGTTGTAAAGCCAAGAGGGAAGACTACAGAGAGAGAACTAACGAGGCTATGGTTAGACCTACGGTTTATGGACATCTGGTTAACACAGTTACATGTAGTTTGCTGGAAAAGCCGAGGGACACACATGCGTGAGGCCTAGTACTTCAAAGGCGGGCCCAGACGCGCGCGACGCACACGTGCTGGCATTAAGAGATGCACGCGAGTCCAGTTACCAAAGTGCCGCAC